TCTTTACAAGAATATCATGGGGCACCTTATCAAATGCCTTGCTGAAATCAAGGTAGGCTACATCCACTGCGTTCCCTTCATCTACCAGGCTTGTAATTCTGTCAAAAAATGAGATCAGGTTAGTCTGACATGACTTATTTTTCAGAAATCCATGCTAACTATTGGTGATCACAGCATTCCTTTCTAGGTGCTCACAGACTGTTTGCTTAATGATCTGCTCCAGAATCTTCCCTGGTATTGATGTCAGACTGACTGGGCGGTAATTATTTGGGTCCTCTCTTTTCCCTTTTTGAAAATAGGGACAACATTTGCCCTCCTCCAGTCTGCCGAGACTTCGCCTGTTCTCCAGGAATTCTCAAAGATGACTGCCAGTGGTTCTGAGATCACATCTGCCAGTTCTTTTAATACTCTTGGATGCAGTTCATCTGGCCCTGGAGACTTGAATACATCTAAACTAGCCAAGTATTCTTGTACTATCTCCTTAGTTATTCTGGGCTGTGTTTCCTCTGCTGAATCATTTGCTCCAAATTCTTCAGGTCGGGCATTGTTTTCTTTATCGGAGAAGACTGAGGCAAAGAAGGCATTGAGGAATTCAGCCCTTTCTGTGTCCCCTGTTTGCATTTCACCATCCTCTCCTCTGAGTGACCCCACTGTTTCTTTTTTCTTCCTTTTGCTACGAACATACCCATAAAAGCCTTTTTTGTTGCTTTTAACCTCTCTAGCAAGCCTGAGTTCATTCTGTGCTTTAGCTTTTCTGACTTTGTGTCTACACGTGCTGGCTATTTGTTTGAATTCCTCTTTGGTGGTTGTCAGGGAACTGACATCGGAGCCTGAGGCAGAGGGAAGGCTCTCAAATGAGGCTGGAGAAGGGCCAAGCAGGGAGAGAGGCAGTTTAGCAGAGGGGGAAGCAAATCAACGTTACACCAGGGATAAAGGGGGGCAGATGGGGGAATCGGTGAGAGGGCTCCAGGACTCTTCACTGGACACCAGCGGGGAGAGCACGGGTCCTCCACTACCCACGCCCTCCCTGCGCAGAAGACTTCCACGCAGGGAGAGTAGGAGGAGACTGGGCGTCAAACAACTTTTATGTTGGAAGAGGTTTAAGAAACGCCCACTGACGGATTCTGCTAGCGACTGAGGCAGCCACGAATTGAAGGGCTGTCCAGACAGAAAGGTTTAACCAGGCAACATAGCCAGGAGAGGCGGCAACTTACGCACGAGCAACCCCATACCCACTATAGTGGTTTCCCCCCTTTTCCATTTTTTGTACACATCCTTTTTTAATCTTAACTCAGTTAAAAGTTCTTTAGATAGCCACCCTGGCTTCTTTAGGCACCTTCCATGTTTCCGTCTCATTGGTATTGCCTGAAGTTGTGCTTTTACTATCTCCCTCTTAACAAACTCCCAGCCATTATGAACTCCCTTTCCTTTTAGTATTACTGTCCATGGGATCTCACCCAGCACTTCCCTAAGTTTTATGAAGTCGGCTTTCTTAAAGTCAAGAAATTGAGTCCTAGTATGCTTGGCTGCTCCTTTCCGCTGTATAGTAAACTTCAGAAGACCATGATCACTCGTGCCTAATGATCCTTCCACTTCTACCCCACTAACCAGGTCATCAGCATTGGTTAGGACCAGATCTAAAATGGCTGTTCCTCTTGTTGCTTCTCCCACTTTCTGGACAATGAAGTTGTCTGCAAGGCCAGTGAGGAATCTGTTTGACCTTATGCTCTTGGCTGAGTTTGACATCCAACAAATATCTGGGTAATTGAAGTTCCCCATTATCTCCCTTCCTTTTGCATGCTTGGCCATCTGTTCCAGGAAGGCATCATCTATGTCCTCTGTTTGGCTTGGGGATCTATAGTAAACTCCCACAATGAGGTCACTGTTATTCTTCTCTCCCTTAATTTTGAGCCAAATGCTCTCACTTTGGCTTTGAGGTTCTAAATCTTGGATCTCTTCACAGGTATTCACATCCCTGACATATAACGCCACTCCTCCTCCTTTCTTGTCTGGTCTGTTTTTCTGAAATAGATTGTATCCCTCCATTATTACATTCCAATCGTAGGACTTATCCCACCAGGTTTCAGTGATGCCTATTATGTCATATTTAGTTTGCTGTACCAAGAGCTCAAGCTCATCTTGTTTATTTCCCATGCTTTGCGCATTAGTGTACAGACATTGAAGTCCATTAATCATTCCCCCGTGACACTTATTTAAGGATTTTTTCCTCCCACCACTAGGTCTGCGTGCTGTTTGCTCCATTTGGTCTATGACATTTGGATGATCATCTTCATCAATTGATAGACTCCTACCTTCAGGAGCACTGTCTCCCTCCCCACATTAGTCAGTTTAAAGCCCTCCTGATGAGGTTTCTGAGATTTTTGGCAAAAACATTCCTCTCAACTGTTGTGAGGTGCAGCCCATCGCTTGCCAGAAGTCCATCTTCAAGAAACTGCAGTCCGTGATCTAAGAATCCAAACCGTTCCTGTTTACACCATTTGCGAAGCCAGCTGTTCACTTCCACTATGTTTCCCTCTATCCCTGGGCCACATCGTTCAACTGGGAGGACAGATGAGATGACAATTTGTGCATTTAATTGCTTCAATTTCCTGCCCAGTGTCTCGTAGTCTCTTTTGATCTTCTGGAGGCTATTGCTTGCAGTGTCATTAGTTCCCACATGAACCAAGAGGAGGGGGTATTTGTCAGTGGGTTTTATGATTCCTTGCAGTCGTTCAGTTACATCTTGGATCTTAGCCCCGGGGAGACAGCACACTTCCCGAGACATCTTGTCAGGCCCACAGATCACTGCTTCTGTCCCCCTCAGTAGGGAATCCCCTATCACCACTACACGCCTCCTCTTAGATTTGGTCGGGGTTCTTCCATGAGCTGTCCGTTCCAAGGTCGCCTGCACATTCCTTGAAGACTGACTTTGCTGCTTGTTTTCATATACCTGATCGACTGTAATGAGGGAGAGATCCTCAAATGGAGTCTGCTCTTCGTCTTCCATGCTAGGGGAGAGGACCTCAATGTGATTGTGTATTTCTAAACAATCAGAGCGAACCCTGGGCCTCCTACTTCTTTGAGTCACGTTTCTCCATATATCTGGCTCCTGTGTTGGTGAACTAGCCTCCTTCTCAGGGGAGTCCCCTGTCTCCTCCTTGGTGGAGACGGTGTGCTCTGTTGCTTCCAAGAAGAGCTCCAGCTCTCTAATTCTTTGGAGCGTAGCTACACGTTCCTCCAGTTGCTGGACTTTGTCTTTTAAGAGGGCAATCAACATGCAATTGCTGCAGGTAAAGCTGCCTGCAACCTTTGGCAAGATGGCAAACATTGCGCAGGAACCGCAGGCGACTGCAGCTGTTCCCTCCCCCTCCATCTTGAGAACGTGTCGTTGGGGGTGGCTACAGCGGTCCTCCATCATAAAAAGCGTGAAGACAGGACAAATAACTCCCCCCCAAAAAAACCTAGGTCTCCCCCAACAAACGTTTGAGACTAGCTCCCCTAAATCTAAAAGATGGATCAAACTGCACGCGCCGCTAGGCCAATTCAAACAAGTTGACTGAACTAAAGCTTGAATACTTCAATGGTTTATTTTCATTGAAGTCTCCAGAAACATTGTTTTGCATGCCATATTCACTACAGGTGAAATGAATGGTGACTTCTCATCCTCTAGTGGTTCCATAAACACTTGGGGGCAGTGTTGCTTTCTTACAGCTGAAGTCCTTTCCTGCTTTTTAAGAAAATACATTACTTTGATTTTATTTTTATTTATATGTATATATATATATATAGATCACTCTTCAGTCCATGTGGTCCCCCAACACAGCATAGTCATAACTAACACATGAATTCAAAACAAGGAACAATGTAAGCAATTCCAATGTATAGAAACAAAAAGGACAAACTCAAATAAGCAGGGAGTGGTGTGAGGAAATCATCCAGTGCTGAAGGCCCATCAAAACAGAACAGTTTCCACAATCTTCCTAACTGCTAACAAGGTTGTCTTCCAAGGGGAAGACATTCCCAAGACTGGCTGCCGCAGCTAAGAAAACCCTGTCCCCCATTCCCACTGGCCTTAATCAAGATGGTGGTAGAACATGGAGAAAGGCTCCCAATGAAGATATCAATGACTGGGCAGAATCATGTGTTAGCAGGCATTCTATCCATTATCCTGGTTCCAAACTGCTTAGGGAAGCCTTGCCCAACCTGATGCCCCCCATCACTCCCAACCAGCATTACCAATAGCCAGGGATCATGGGAGCTGTGGTTCAGCAACATATTGAGGGAACAAGGTTGAAGAAGGCTGGTTTAAGGCTTCAAATATTCTAGTTTACAAGCTACTCTTTTCACTGTGCTCAGCACTGGGGTAATGTGCTCTGAATAACGGGCTCCTATGAACAGCCTGGTAGCAGCATTCTGCCTCAGCTGTTGCAGTTATGGTCCCCACTGATTTCAAGCTTTGACTCCAGCATCCAAATGTACAGTACAGCCTCCTCTAATGTTCAGACTATCCAATGTGCTATTAAGAATGAACCACAACTGCTGTCATGTTTGGAGTCCAGTCTGTGGATGCACAATTCCTACCTCCACCAACCCTTGCATGCTTCATCCCAGTTGAGTGGAAATGGCCGGGGGGCAGAGAACAGTGCTGGGAGTTTGGCTCTCAGCTTTGCCATTGCATTATTATTGGGATTCTCAGCAGCATGCACAGGTGGGAGCCTTTTCCCACAGTGTAGGAAGAGAGAAAACCCCAGAAAGGGACTCAGAGAAGGGGGAGGGAAATAATATGAGAACTATGTGTGACCCAACTTCACAGATCTGGGTAGAAGGGAGGATAGAGAGAAAGCAGAGAACATTTATTTTTAAAAAACAAAACAAAACATATTTTTATTAAGTTTTACACAATGAATTTAAATGCAAACAAATCATCCACATCATTATTTAGGATTCCCTGAATCCTTTGACTTCCTTCCGCCCTTCCATTGTTACCATTCTCAAACTTTCCCCCCCAACTGCTTCCCTTATTTGCTCTAATTTTTAAGAAACGTAATCCATTTTTACCATAGCTTTTCATACATTACATTACATGCATTACTCAAATCCTGCCAAAGTTTTTAGTTGTTTACAGTGTTCTCTTAAATACATTATATTTTTTCCCATTTCCTCTTAAAATTCTTCTCTTCCTGGTTTCTGATTTTCCCAGTCAGTTTCACCATTTCGGCATAGTCCATCATCTTCATCAACCATTCGTCTCTGGTTGGAACTTTATCTTCTTCCCATCTTTGGGCCAGTAGTATCCATGCTGCTGTCATCGCATACACGAATAGTCGTTTCTGCTCCTTTGGAATCTCTGTACCTAGAATACATAGCAAAAAAAAGCCTCTGTTTTTTTCACAAATGTTATTTTAAACATTTTTTTCAACTCATTGTAAATCATTTCCCTGAATGCTTTTGTTATCTTGCACATCCACCACATATGGTAGAATGTGCCTTCTTTCTCCTTACATTTCAAAAAAAATAATTTAAGCAGTTCTATACATTTTTGCTAATTTTACAGGTGTTAAATACCACCGATACATCATTTTCATATAATTCTCCTTCAACGCACAGCATGCTATAAATTTTAAATCCTCCCTCCATAACTTTTCCCAAGATGAAAATTGGATGTTGTGCCCAATATCTATAATGATTGTTAGCAGCGAACAGTCCAGCAAGCAGGGCCGTCTTACCCATAGGTGCTAGGGGTGCAGAGCACCTGGGCGCCAGGCTCTCAGGGGCGCCAGACCGAGAGTCTGGGGCCCGACAGTTGAGTCTGGGGAAGAGCCCGCCCATCAGAGCGCTGTGGCGGGCTCTTCTGCTGCAGGTGGCTCTGCGCCACAAGTTCGGGGGCAACCGAGCCAGCAAGACGCTGAGACAGCCGGCTAGCTCCACCCTCCTGCACGCCTGGGACTGGGCAGCCTGGGGGGGGGGGACACTGGGTGGATCTTTATACCCTGGCGCCACATTTGCTTAAGACAGCCCTGCCAGCAAGCATGTGAATGGTTATCAATTCAATTAAGCTTTATTTACAAGCATATTCACAGAGCTGCTCTCACACATATCCATCATACATCAAAGATGTCCTAATCGGAGTCTTTGCGGTTACATTTCCAACAAGATCGGCGGCAAAACCCCTTAAGTATGCCTCTGTGCTTACGTTCTTCCTGTAGGTTTGCCCAGCGTCAGGACTTCGGACTGAGAGTGTTAATTGGCTCTCAATCACTGTTGCTAGAGAGTGCTTCCGGAGTCACGAGAGTCACCCTTGGCAGACTGCTTTCTGGGCTTTCTTCCAGCCCTCTCCCCTCCACCGGTAATGGAGTGCCAGGTCTAGAAAGGGAGGGTTGTGGAATCTGCGGGGGGGTTTTTTTGGAAAGCCAAGCCTTCTGTCTCTTCTGCCAGCTGACTCTCCTCTCCTGCCCCGTCTCCTGCCTCGTTTGCTGGATCCTGAAGAGCCAGGTTTCTGACAATATCTTGTGCCTAATGTATCATTACCGATTTAACTACTTCGTCTTTGGTACGCCACTCTAGCAACAATTTACCGTATTTTTCGCTCTATAAAATGCACCCTACCATAAGACACACCTAGATTTAGAGGAGGACAAGGGAAAAAAAATCTCTCCCTCTCTGTGCAGCGCCCCTTCAGCGAAGCGGCAGGTGAAGTGGAGCCCCTTCCATTTCTCCTCCAGCTTCGCTGAAGGGGTGCTGCGCAGAGAGGGAAAGATGCACAGCGCCTCTCCAGCGAAGCAAAGCCAGGAGAGCAAGAGGGATTGGTGCGCACTGATCCCTCTTGCTCTCCTGGCTTCAGCGAAAGCAACGTGAAGCCTTCGAAGCGCAGCAGGAGCTCCCACTGTGCTCCAGAGGCTTCGCGTTGCTTTCGCTGAAGCCATGGAGCCTGCATTCACTCCACAAGACGCACACACATTTCCCCTTACTTTTTAGGAGGGGGAAAGTGTGTCTTATAGAGCGAAAAATACGGTATACATTTTAGAAAGTAACTTCATGTTATTTTCCATTAAATATTTTTCAAACCATGACATTTCTTTACTGAATCCAATTTTCTTATCTATTTTAAACACACCATTTAATTGATGATATTGCAACCAGTCTGTTACTGTCTTATATCCTCAAAACTTTTCAATTTCAGTTGTTGCGCTACTTCCATGAGCAACTCTCTATAGGTTGCCCATTCACCTTTTGCATTAGTCTTTTTCAGGGATATCGCTTCCACTGGTGAAAGCCACCATGATGTCTTCTTCTCTAACAGGTTTTTATATTTTCCCCATAGTCCATAAATTGCTTTTCTTACCAAATAATTCAAAAACACTTTATGCACTTTGGTCTTCTCATACCATAAATATGCGTGTCAACCAAATCTGTTATCATGACCCTCAAGGTCTAAGATATCTGTATTTTTAAAAGTTATCCACTCCCGTAGTCAGCAGAGAAATGACGCTTCATAGTATAATTTCAAATCCAGCAGAGAGAAGCCACCTCTTTTGGGGGGCAGGGGTATCTGTTAATAGTTTATATTTAATCCTTGGTTTCTTTCCCTGCCAGATAAATTTGGAAATATATTTTTGCCATTGTTTGAAGTGTCCCTCTCCGCTGACCACGGGTATTGTTTGAAATAAAAATAACATTCTTGGCAATACATTCATTTTCATAACTGAAATTCTTCCCCATTTAAGGTCTTATCAGACTGGATGGCCAAAAAAAAACAAAAAACCAAACCAACAGTTTGAAGCTGGGAGTCTTGGAGATGATGAGGGTCCCAGGGTTCCTGAAAAAAGAGATAAAGGATACTCCAGGTCTCCTCTAAAAGCCAGAGTTAGACTTGGGGTTCTGAAGGAATCTAAGCCATTGCAGTTCAGTCCCTAGTTTCTCAGTTTATTCAGTTGCAGCATTTGGAAAATTTTTGAAGCTTTGCCTATCTTCAGTGTCTCTCACAAAGGCATTTGAAGTGCATGATCAAGAGCCCTTAAGGAGACAGACTTCTGAGGAGGCAACAGAACTGGTCAGCTGCACCTGTCAAAAGCTCTGATGTAATTAAGTGGTGGATTTATGATAGTTTATCTGTCATTATTATCTCTTAGGACAGAGATAACGTTGCGATGTTATCTCTAAAAAAACGCTCTAAAAAGGATCATTATCTGTTGCGGGATCAAGAAATCTTCAGACAGGTGAGTCTGGAGTGGAAGTAAATACAGCCCTCCCAAACATCATTTAATAGCATTAGAGTTTATCTCTAGGGCAAAGACCCACCAAGCCTCCTTTCTTTAATTATCTTTGAAACTATTATAAATTACTAAAGCAAACTAAAGAAACTACTAACCCGACAGTAAAAATGTTCATTTAAATTATGACCCGAAAGCAGGCTTAAAAAGAGAGTCTAGTTAGGGGGCTGGAAATAAACAAAGCATGAAGTATGACTAAGTTATATTTGTATTAAAGAAAATTATCCATGGCTGGTAGACTTCTCTTCATGTTTTAGGATCTTTTCCTTGAACTTCCGTCCTTGTGATTTGTGAAATTCCATTGCATGGCCATCTGTGGCTCAGGTGGAATCTTAGGAATGTGAGCTATGCATTATCCGGCTGCATAGAAAAGCAGGAACTGTGTGAACTTATAAGATTCTTTAAGGAGACCACAAATGTATCTATAAAAGAACAACAGCTGGTGGGAATGAAGCCTGTTATATGTTGGTCACACTTTGGACTAATTCATACATACCGGCAGCAATCATTGCTGTCAAAGTCACTTTTGCATTGCTGGAGTTCCATGCAGCGCTATAAGAATCACTGTTTGATTTCTGGTGTGGCATACTTTTCTGAGCTCCAGAGAGTGCAGTGTGCTTGTGGACAGAGGGTGAGCATGCGCTGCATTCTCGGCGGTGATGCTATCTCTCTTCATTGAGTGATTGCCAAGGATCCAGACAAGCTTTGCCAAGTGCATCCTCTTATGCTGCTTAGCAACCATATTGGGTACATTTTGCTTGTAGGTCCCTAATGAGGGGAGACCTAAAGCTTGTCTACAATAAGTCCAGATTTAAGAGCTTCTAATGAGTGGAGGTTAATTGTATTTCCTATGTATACTAACAGTCTTTCAAAATTCCTTGTACTTGCTCATCATTAGAATTTTGTTAGAGAAATGACCTCATCCTAATCTTTCTGATGCACAAAATCATATCCATTATTCACAGCCCTTTTCCCTCTGGTAGCAATATTGGGAAAGGTTTGCCATAAAGAATGCATACAGATTTCTTCCCATCTTCTCTCTCTCTGTCACTGTCTAAGCAGCTGCCTCTCTTTCTCTCTCTGTAAAAAACAACCAGCTATCCTTGCTCAGGGAGCTGCTCCAAGTCTGAAGTGTAACCTTTTGAAGATGAACTAATTAGTGGTTTTTTACTTGGAAGGAGAAAAAGAGGCAAAAGGTAATTGTGGGCAATGACATGGGTTGGGCTGTCATCCCAGAGAGCTTCTTGGTCCCATGAATTCCATTGAAGCCGCCTTTCAATTTGTCTTTGAATCAAGGATCAAGTCAGGTCAGCAGAACAGATCTTTTGTATTTGGCCTCTCTCTCCCCCCCCCCCCCATTATCTAAGTACAACTTGTGAGTCTCTAGTCAGTGTAACTGAAGTTTCCTGGGTTTCAGATGATATGTGCATTTCACTATACTCTGTTATCTTTTGTGGAGTAATGTAATGGGAGTATAATATTGAAGAATGCTGGCGGAAATGACTGGCAGAATCCGAGACCAGGGAGAAGAGTCGGTGGAAGAAGATTGGAAGAAATTTAAAGTCTATTTACAGAAATATTGTAAAATTAATGAATGTTAGAATGATGTTGGATAGAAAGTAAGTGGTTTCTAGCTGTAATACTATAAGGGAATATGAAAAATGGATTACTAACAGGTAAAAATTTAACGTTACAATATTTTAAGATTTAAGACTTGGATAAACAAAGAGGGGAAGGATTTGCTGAACCAACAAACCGAACTGGAATACAAAAAAGGGAGGCGTGAGGAGGTCTGGGAAATAAGCTAATGAAAAATAAGTAATGGAAAGATTGAGTTGTTTTTAACTATTTTTATTTTGTATTTTTCTTTTTTTCCCCTTTTTTTGTAATATTTTGAAAATTTCAATAAATATCTTATAAATATATATATATAATATTGAAGAATGCACGATGACAGAATAAATATTTCTTGGAGAGACACACACTTTCTACAAGAGACTGAATTCATTGATATTTTCAAGAAATGTGTCATATTTACTTACAAAATTTACTTACCTTCAAGAAAACAGTGATATATTTACTTATCAAATTTCTGTCCTACATATTGATGTGTCCTCAAGACGCATTTTAAAATGAATCTATACTTAACAAACAAACAAATCACATATCAAATTAAGCACCAATAAAAAGTGCAAGAGATAAAGCACTATAAATGAATCACCACACTGGAAGTGCGTCTTGGAGTAACGAGACTCACCAAATGCAGTTCAACAGCTATTGATGGGACCACAAGGTAGAATTATAGGAGGAGGCAGGGCTGGATCAAGCAAAATAAGCACAAGCTTAGGGCATAAAGGGATGTGGGGTGCCACAGAAGTGGGGCACCTCTGAGCATTCATTTTCTCAGTTGACATATATTAAAATGCCCAACAGAACAGTTATGCAACAAGGCCGGCTGGATACTTTAGTAAGTATAGAAGCAGATTAGTTCTGAGACTTTGCAAAAAGTAAGAGTCTTAGAAAAAGTTGATTTTTTTCCAAATATAAATAAAGCCAAAGTATACAAAATAAATATTATTTTCTATCTTACTATAGGTTTTGTTTATCAACCACTACAGTTATAATATTCACATTCTTTTCCCCTTGCTGTCTTTTCCATTTTGGAGTTTTAGACATACAATCTGTTCTCATTCTCACATATTTTGCACTGAAATTTCCTGCCTGTATTTTCAATTCTCTTCCTACTCCAAATCACTGGAGTTGGTAATGTTCACTACAGTTCAGTGCTTACTACTAAATAGGGATGACTTTTTGGAAAGTGAATTATCTACTGCTCACTGGAGCCTTTATGTTCTCCATAACAACGATTCTCTATCAACACTTCATAACTAGGCATGGAAATGTTGACATTGGCACCCATTTGCCAGCTTTTATATATTCCCTGAGTATGGCTTGCAGAGCAGGAAGTAATTCTTGTAAAATCAATATTCTAGTCCTTAAAAAAACCTAGTATAATAAGCTTAATAAAATAAACTATAAAACTATAATTTTACCCCCCAAAATAGCCTGCTGTTTAATACCAAAGCCAACAGGGAAAGTTGTAATTTCAGGGCACTCTGCTGTATTCCTTAAGAAAACTGAAAGCACGAAAATAAGAGTTGTGCATGAAGAATGAGCAGGGCAATAGTTGCATTCCAAGGCAATAGTTTCCTAAATGATGAACTGTAAGAGGCTCTTTGCTGCCAAGCATGGAAGTCAAGGATCTTCAATGGTGTAAGAGGCAAAGAACTGGATGTGGTGATGAAAAGATTAAATTCACATCCTGAATTGGCAATAGGTTGTCTATTGGCCATTGGCAAGCCTTGTTTCTCTACCTGTAAAATGGGAATTACATTGACAGGCCACACAGTCATTGTGGAGAAAAATGATGGGAAAACGTGCTCTTCTGCTGGAACAAGGTGGACAGTAAATAACAACGACAACTTTAAGAGAGTCAATTCCAAGTCAATGATTTAGCAGCAGTTGTGTTTTTCTTCCTAAAAAACAACACTGTGCAGGCAAGGAAAAATCTTTTTAAACCCCTCAACAGCTCAAAACTGTAAATGTTTTGTGTAGAAATGCAGACTCCAGGACATTGGTTTCTCTTGTGCTCATTTTGCCAAACTGCTCTCCAACTTTGTCTCATGATCCAAAGCCTCCTTGCCTTTAAGTGCCTATTTAAAATTCCCTGTTTTAGGACTGAAAGTCAACAGAGTAGTCCAAGTGTCACAAGCATTTATTCTGTTTTTCTTTTCTTTTCTTTTCTTTTCTTTTCTTTTCTTTTCTTTTCTTGAGATCAACCTAAGGAAGGCTTCTGTGGAGCTTGCATTTTAATCACTAGTTTCTATTGCATATGCTTCAAACATGTTTGCCATTCTTGCTTAAAAACAATCCTGATTTATAAATACTGTTTGATGGGGACATGAATAACTGGGAGATATGCTCCCAGTTGAAAGTTGTGTAGTAGAGGGAAAACTGAATTAATATACCTAAAATTGTGGAAGGGAAATTTTAAACTGTGCAGGATCTTAATTTATGCTGATGGTTATGCCTGCATGCAGAAATCATGTGCACCACATTCCTAAACACATCTTGATGCATTTGCATGTACTAAGTGTAAAAAAGGAATGGAACAGTGTTAAACAAGAGCTTGATGTTTAGGGTAATGAGAAAATACAGAATTCTGTATTACTATTTTATGCCCCTCTCCATTATTAATGAGATGATTCCTGAAAAGAGTCAACATCAATGCTGGTTTTGCAGCTGCTTATTACTTCTAAGGATGTGGCCCATGTTTAATTAATTATTGCTGCTCTATCACATCAGCATTGGGTTCACTGCTCAATATAGCTGCAAACCGTGAAATTGTGGCCACATTAAATGGATGGGACTTTCCCCACTGGGTCATTTCCTGCTTATATAAACAGGCAACTGGGGCAATTTTGGCAAGTGTGCCAAAAACCACCAAGAGTTGGGTCACTTACTCTTCCTCTGCATCAAACAAACCCTTAAAGCTACAGCAGCATCTTTAAGCTTCCAGACATGTGAGGAATTAATTCTTTGCACATTCCTATATGCACTTAAGTCTGCAGTTCCCAGACTTTTGTTCAGATTACAATTTAGCTGTTCACCAGATTTAGCACTTCTCAACAGTTTAAGCATATCAAAATGGACATTTAAATACTATATTGAGACAAAATACACATTTAAATATGTGTTGAGATGCTTACTTACATACATACATACATGGCTCTCAGCCAACAGAGGATACTAAGATTATCTCCATATGGAATAGACCCACATGTATATACTTTGTAACTAAATCTGCCTTCAGGGATCCAACTGTGAACTGATGATGTGAGTAAACTTCTTTTCTATGCTTTACACAAGAAGGTGGCGTGTTTATTCTTTTAAGAGGGATATAAGGGAATTTACCAGGAATCTAATATTAAGAGGCTTAAACAAGCCTGCTGTGTGTTTCAAAGGGGTATGTAACTCTGATAAGTTATAGAACTCGCTAGCGCAAGTTAGGAAGGATATTAATAAACAATATATCCTCTCCCTCCCTGAACATTCCCACATTGTCTACACTGACCAGAAGGGGCTCTCCAAGGTTTGAGGCAGGGGTCTCTCCCAGCCTGACCTGGAGAAGCTTGGGACCTTCTGCAGGCAAGGCAGATGTTCTGCCATGAGAAACTACCCTTCCCCATATGAACAAAACCATAGGATCCGCTTTACAAAAAAGAGAGGTGAGTTCTATGTACATAATTGAATGGATTGGTGCAATCATGAGCCATATTCCCAGACTCTGCAGCAGGGATAAAATATGCACTGGGATTTACATTGGCTTCATTCCAAACTATAGATCTGTTTTATACACAGATGTGGTTTTACTGTATAACTCCTATGTCTTCCCACCCTGCAAAAAATCCAGTGTGTTGTAGCTTGGTGAGGGTGCTAAGAATTTTTGGATACTTTTGCATAAGTACAATTTTCTCATTTCATGGGGAAAGTATGATTAAATGGTGAGGGACTTATTTCTCATTGAATATTTCCCATTGTGAGTAGGGGAGGGTGACATACAGGAGAAAAATGCTTTTCCTAAACCTCCTTTTTATCATCTATCCAACAGTCATGCTTGTCTCCTGATCAGGTGCTGCCAGCTGCCATATTTGCTGGTTGTCTTCTTCCTGGAAATGTGATCCGAGGCAAAGAAAGAATACACGAGATCTATTTTGCTATTTGTAAAGGTAAAGGTACCCCTGACCATTAGATCCAGTCATGGACAACTCTGGGGTTGCGGCGCTCATCTCGCTTTATTGGCCGAGGGAGCCAGCGTACAGCTTCCGGGTCATGTGGCCAGCATGACTAAGTTGCTTCTGGTGAACCAGAGCAGTGCACAGAAATGCCGTTTACCTTCCTGCCGGAGCGGTACCTATTTATCTACTTGCACTTAGATGCGCTTTCAAACTGTTAGGTGGGCAGGAGCTGGGACCGAGCAACGGGAGCTCACCCCGTCGTGGGGATTCAAACCGCCGACCTTCCAATTGGCAAGCCCTAGGCTCTGTGGTTTAACCCACAGCGCCACCTGCTGAAGGTTGTACAAACCTTCAATTAAAATGCCAAGGTTGGTGATGGAATAGTAAAAGGAATGCCGTGCTGGGGACAGAGCTAGAATCCTGGCTCCACTCCCTGCTGTTGCTATGCATGAGGGCACTACATGCATGAAGTGGGCCCAAGTGATGGCACTTCAGCTGTAGACATTTCTGGTTGAAGCCACTTATCCTTTATTCACACAGACATGGAGATGGCCATCCTTGACATCACTGCACCTGTTCATTGTTATTGTTTTAAGGCAATACTGGTTTCATATAAACTTTGTTTCTTGTGTACTATATTATTGTATGCTACAATACTCTGAGAATACAGTACTCTGAGATATTTCTAATAAAAATGACTTAGAAATAAATACATAAAGCTGCAGAACTGATCATATTCGGTCAAAGGATAGCATCACAAAGCCCATTGAGATCATAGGGCATTGTTCTTAGGTCAGTATTGCCCTTACTCTGAAAGTTCCTGTTCAACTCTCCTCAAAAACCAAGAAAAACAGAGGGACAGTTTGGTGATTTCTGAAAGTTTTCCTGACAAGTGCTGAAACTTAATCATTGACTTAGCTCTATAACTCAGTAAATTTAAATCTGCTGTAGATACTGTATGCTGTCAAATGACCAGAAACCTTTTAGTCGCCTCTTAGAAGCATCAGCTGCTATCCCAACCCTGTTTGCTCAGAAGTCAGCTCTGATTACTCCATGAGACCTACAATGGAATTGGGGAGGCAGTGGGGAAGTGGGTGAGAAATGAGAGGACAATAATACTTTTTTCCCCCTTGACTGTTATAAGCAGCTGCTGCCAGCAACTAAATGCTCAAGATGGCATATAATTATCACTGGGCTTGAAAAACCTTCCATTCCTACAGACATACCTGGGACCAAGACTCACTGAGCAGAGTAGGACTGGCTTTTGAATAAACACTCATATAGGATTGCTCTGTAAACTGGAGAACAAAACCTAACTTTTACAAGATTTCATGAACTCCTGCGAAGAGATTGTGCATGCATTTTCAGAAGTCTGTTTCTCCCTACTTGCATTTTATTTAAGTTGTTCATAAATACCAGAGAGACTTGGGTGTATTAAAAAGAGTTGTAGCTGCAGTTCCAGTGTTGCACACATTGGAGCCTGGCTACACATTGCACTCGACAGCTCTGGCCATGTAGAACACTAAAGATTCCCTCCTGACAGAAAACTGGAAAGGTTTCATTTTTCATTTCATTTTTGTTATTTGTATGCCGCCTTTCCACAGTTAAAAACACTGCTCAAGGCAGCTTACATGACAAGATTTACATAATTACAAAAGTCATAAACAATAAATAAACCACATAAAAAAACACCAAAACTAAATGGAAAACAATTTCCACATAAATCAAAATCTAAAACTAAGAATACAGCATTAATACCACAGCTTAAAACGAGATAGGTAAAAAGTAACAGCAATTTAAACAAAAAACAAAATGGAGACCTCTCTGCCCAGCAGCAGCAGTCCTTTATAGAGCCCATCAGGCCCCGCCCTAGGCCAGATGGTGAGTGGCAGGACTGGGGCCCTTAGGCACTGAGCAGGGGAGTCCTCAATTCAGGCTCGTCTTCAATTCATTTTTTAAAAAAATATTTTATTAGTTGAATATAAGAACAACATATAATCAAATATAAGCTATCAAATACATTTTTCCCCAACCCCCCCCCCAAAACAGCCCCAACTACACCCAGGTAATTACATTAGTAATATAATCAAATAAAAATTATTTCTACAGTTGCTAGTTTAAAAAATCATTCCACATGCTCCCATGTGCCTTAGGTGGTTTAAATGCATGTTCTGTCTTTGATGCATATGTAATAAAAGAGGACCACATTATGTAGAAGTTATGTAGTTTCTCACGTTTTCTTTCACGTACTCTTTCTGTTAACTTTTCCATCAAAATTAATTCCCAGACATAAGCATACCAGACGTCATATAGGTTCAAGTTTAATGTCCACCAGTGTCTAGCAACAGCAAGACGTGCTGCAGTTATAAGATGCACAATTAAGTCTTTGTCTCTAAGATTTTGTGCTCCATCTGCAAATATAGAAAGCAATGCTATTTTGGGATCTAAATTGATCGATTGAGATGTAATTTCAATTTCAATTTCCTGAAAAAAAAAATTAATCAGTTTTATTGATTTTCCAATAAAAACAGCCAATCAACATATCCACATCACAATCCAATTAAAAACAAGAAACTAAAATTTAAAAAAGACCAAATTGTAATACAAATTGTAATTATTAATTTTTCAGGGCTCCCCATAGTCTGGACCTCTGAAGCATATCTCCAAATCTTCAGTCCTGCCTCTTCTCATTGTTTTCATATTTTCCACTTTCTGGTCTTAATGCTTTAAAGTTCTCCATTCCTGGCTATGAGATTCTCAATCATGTCAAAAATCATATGTCCTTTCATCCACCCAATACAGCTTTATTTGTAAATATATATTTTTTCAATTGTCTATTTACCAGCGCAGCTTTTCCTGACTTCATTCCAATCTTCCAATCCGGGCTGTTGTCCAAGTTTATCCTTTGAAGTTTAAAGACGCAGCAAACCCCAAGCTGTTAAATCACTCCAATCCGGGCTGTTGTCCAAAGCTTTCTTTTGAGATTTAGTGACACAGTGCCTTCCATGTTGTTGAGTTGTTGCTATAGATTGTTGGGTGAAACTGTTTGCAATATTGCAATGTAAATGAAGTGTATTCCACAGATATAAGTCATCTGGCGATCAATCAGCTTCTCGGAGACCACACAATCTCCCCCCTCCGGGCCCTAGAGGGGGGGCTGTTAGACTTCCATTCAGCCTTTTCTCTTGCTCATAATAAAAAACTTCTGCAAACAGCTGCACTATATGTTATCCCAAATTGTTATCTCAAAACATTACAATGTCAGCCAGCAAATATTTCCTACTTCCCTCGAAAAAGGGGAGGAATTCTCATCTTTCCGTGCTGCATCATATTAACAAATGCCATCTTGTTTCTTCTTTTATATTTATCACGTCCTTCAAATTTGAGTAAAGCTGCGCAGTTGAATACTTAATTATAACTAGAAGTCCATCTGTACTCTTTAAAAAAAATATTAGGTTTCTTAATGAGGCTTGGCATAGAAAACCAACTGTAGATGTTAAGAAGAGAAAAAAGACTTACCAAACACCTCTGTAATCCAAACGCCATGATGAGAATCTCTTTGAAGTCCGAGCTTAAACACCAGGGACTGTGCAATTCTGCAGATTTTTTCTCAATCTTCTTCAGTCCAGACTATGTCTGTTTATTGTCCAAATCTAATTATTTTATCAAACAGATATGTCCGGCATGTGAGAGTGACTTCAGAGAGTGCCAGACGTACCCAGAGTCCTTGCCACTTGCACCTTGATGCCAGCTGACAAATCTTGGATATCTGCAGGTCTACGAGACAGTCCTCCCCCACCCTGGGGAGTCTGCCAGGGCTGATTACCCCCATATCAGCCCTGAATTACCGGCACGGCTGGGATCTGATTGTATGGGAGTCAGCCATTTCCCACCGCCAGAAACAGGAATTTCCTGAAATATTTTTAACCAGAAGTTTTTAATCAATGGGCATTTCCACCACATGTGTATAAATGTTCCTTCATTCCCACCATTTCTCCAACATTGCAGAGAAATATTTTTGTCTATTTTGCTTAGCAATGTGGGGTGCAAGTTAGCTTTGGGTTAGCTTTAAGGTGTTTTCTCTTATTCAGGCAGAAATAGCTCGAAAGGGGGCTTGTTGCCACATTCCTTCCCACAAACCATCATCAATCCCTTCTCCCAAGTCTCTTTCCCATCTAGTCTTCAACAAGGAGGGTTTGAGGTTGAGAAATTTACAATTGCTTTATAGATTAAAGCAATTAGACCTTTACCTCTAGGGTCTGTGGTATATAAAATATTTTCAAATGCAGTTAGTGACTCTCCCTTGTTTGTGAATATCTGTGCTACTTATAAAATGGATGACTTTATGGATTACTATCCAATTATGGGGAAAGTTTTGAACCATTTCTTGTAGTATCAATCCAGACAATGGGGTGTTTTCTTTGTTAAAGTCTTTAAGCCAAAACAGGCCCACATTTCCCCATTTTTCAAAGGGGAATGTTCTGTCTCTATTATAGAAAGTAGGGTGAAATGCCAATGGTATTACAGGAGAAGGCTGAGAGGTCATCCATGGGAACCATTTCTTCCAAAATTTTAGATTAGATAAAAAAGGGGGTTTTCTATTTCAATTAAAATTTTTTATTAATTTGCCAAAATGGGACCCCTCTTATTGAATTCTGTTCTTTTGGGTTTTCCATATTTAGCCAAGCTATTTGTTGAGATCCTTGAATTACCAGGAAAATGCTATGTAGATGGGCTGCTGCATACAGGATATTAGATACTGCCGCGCCACCTCCTCTGGCTGGTTGATATAACGCTTTGGCCTTTTATTCTGGTGTATAAATTTTAGAAGCATGTTTTGCCAAATTTGTAATTTTTTGTCTTCTGTGGCTATTGGTAAGACTCTAAAGAGATAGAGGAGGTGCGGCAGCACCATCATTTTTATAGTGGCGATTCGGCCCAACCATGACAGCGAACCCTTGCTCCAAGTTTTCAATTTTTGTCTAATCCCTCGGATCATTGGACGAAAATTAATTTTCCAAATTGTGAAGGTTCCTGGGGATAATAACTCCTAAATATTTAAAATATTTCTGGTAAAGTTTTATTCCAGTGGAGTGCTGAAATTGTAGTTGTACTTCAGGTGGCATATGAATGCATAGCAGGTCTGATTTGCTATAGTTAACATGAAAACCAGAAACCTTTCCGTAAGCATCTAGAATTTTCATTACTGCCGGGAGACTTGTTCCAGGGCGAGACAGCATCAAGGCTACATCATCTGCAAACATGTTCACCAGATGACTCTGCCCATTAATTTGTATTCCAGACACCTCAGGGTCTCCCCTAAGTGCTAGAGCCAAGGGTTCCATGGCCAGGGCAGAAAGCAGGGGCGACAATGGGCAGCCCTGCTTCGCACCCTGGCCCATCAATATAGGCTCAGAGTGTATACCATTTATCAAAATATTTGTGGTACAATCCTGCTATAAGGTAGTCAGCAGTGCAATGAATGGGGCTCCCATGCCAAAACCTCGCAAGGTTTCAAAAAGAAAATTCCATTCAAGACGGTCAAATGCCTTTATTGCATACAATGTAAGGATGGCTGTTGGTGCCGGTTGGTTTGATCCCCAGTATATTGCACTGAGGATCCTCCTAATTGGGGTAGTTATTGACCTTTGCCTAATAAAACCTGTTTGATCCGAATGTATATAATTTGGTACAATCATCGCTAACCTGTGTGTAATAATGTTTGTAAGTAATTTTAAATCAACATTTATTAATGAGATAGGCCTCATTTACTAATGAGATAGGACTCAACCAACTCCAAGTCTTTATTTGGTTTTGGTAGCACTACAATGTGTGTGTTTTTCCAAGTTCCAGGCATCAGGCCATGATCCTTTGTATCTGTAAATAATTTCAGCAAGAATGGGACCTCAAGTTCAGAAAAGGTTTTATAAAAATAGCCAGTAAACTCATCTTGTCCAGGGAGGGGAGACGTACTCATTGTAGCCCCCCACCTCCTCTGGTGAGTCTCCTGGACCAGAATCAAGTCCAATCTCCCTTTTCTTAATTCCTTCCAAACCCGTCTCCTTTTTATGGGTGACCCCAGTCCTTTAACATTCCATGTGATTATTTTTAAATTATCCATACTTGCTCCAGGATGATTAGTACGTCATAGGAGCGCATGGAAAACATTATATCTAAAAGGCAATTGTTGGCAACTTGCAATAGTTTAACAGCTGGATGGAGAACAAACCCCAAACTTCCCCTCCCCCCCTTTCCCCTCCCACCTACAACAAGAAAATATCCTCCTACTGTTGGAACCATTGTGGTATCCACAGAGTAGTGAATTCTACTCTTTCAGTGGTGTTAACAATAGGGTATGACCAAAATCACCGCTCCCCCCCCCCCAGGAACATTCTATATAGTAAAGTTACAAAGCATGTCATAAAAACTAAGACAAAACTATCTCACAAAGAGCAGAAGCCATCTTGTGGGATTCTCTGTCCATTTTTCTTCTGCATTGGGTTTTTTCCCCTTTAATTTTCTTCACTGTCTTCCCCCCTTGTTGTTGCCATCCAAAGGGGTCTTTTTCTGTCTCTTCATCGGCGCTTTCCTCCACTCCTTCTTTGTCATGTCTTCAATCTGTACATTGAGCTGTTTCAATAATTTTTTAGCTTCTACATGCGAGGCTGCTACCTTGGTTATTCCATTATGAGTGATGATCAGCTTAAAGGGGAATCCCCATTTGTATTTTATCCCTGCATTGCAAAGTAATGTGGTGTATGCTTTGAATTCACAACCTCGCTGCAAGGTCCCAGGAGAAAGGTCTTGGAAGATAGCTATAACAGAGTCCTCATGTTCTATTTTTTCCAGTTTTCTGAAATGTTGCATTAAATCATTTTTCACCAAGAACGTGTTAAAGCGGACAATCACATCTCTGGGGGGTTCCCGTTTTTTAGGTTTTGGTCTCAGGGCTCTGTGTATGCGTTCTATATTTTCTGCACTGATTCTGCAGTCAGGAAATAATTCTTGAATCCACATGAGGAAGGCCACTTTTAGATCTGAGTCTCCAAGTTAAGTCTCCTTTCCCAATCTTGAGAGTCTTCCAGTTGGATTCTAAGGTCTGCTTGCACGCGTTTCAGAGTCCAAATATATATTTTATTTTTCAAGCTTATTCCATTGCTGTGTTAGCTGTAGTTTTAACATCATTCACAGTCTCAGTTAATTTAGCAATGTCTTCTCTCAGTGGGAGGAGTGCTTTTGCCCAGTCTTGGGCTAATTCCTTCCTGATTAGGGCTACTAGGCCTTGTGCATTTTCAAGGCCTATCAGTTTCCCTGCTTCTGCTTTGACATTTTTGGAAGCCTTGGCAACCATTTTTGGCCTGCTAGTGCTTGTGCTAGTGCTTGGCCTGTGCCTGAGGGAGATTCTTTCGAAGGTAGTGAAATTCACGAATCTAAGGTCCCTTTTAGCAATCCAGGCTTCCTAAAGCTCATCACCTAACAGGGGGAATTATTTTTTAAATGCTTACTCATCATTGTCTCAGTTTGTGCTGGTTATTGTTCTCAGGAAGAAGCTCAGCGGCAATTTAAGTAACCATCTTGGTTGATGATGTCACCACCACCACCACCACCCCCCACCCCCGTCTTCAGTTCATATTGAGAGGGGAAGAACTGGTGGTTATATAGGTCATTTTGGGAACACCACCAACAAAGCGAAGCAACACAAAACTTCAATCAGTCATCTATTTCAATAAGTTTACTCCAGTACACAGGTTTATTGGTTATGTATTCCTGGTGTGGAATAGAGGGGGAAAGTTATATTGCCTTTTTGTTTAACGTGAAATTCATGATGTCATTAAGTTTTTTGTCTCCTCTACTGTGGAGTGCAGCATTTCAAAAAAAAACAAACCCTGAACAATGTTTTCATTTTAAGGACAGGTAATAAATAGAATTATTACAATTTCTGAAAACCTCAAGAAAGAATAATTGGCTAGATGCATCCAGCTGACTGTCTTGAGGCTCTTTAAAAATCGAAGAAAAGAATCTGTAGGATTTGCATTCCTGGCACTGCCTATGTGTTAGTGATTGGTTATGTAGCTAATAAATTCAGAGGCTGGAAATAGGAAGAGGGAATATAATGGAAGTTACTGAAGACAGTGTTGAGGTAAAAGAAAATAGATGCACAGTCCTTTGGATGCCAGAATAAATAGACTATTTTAAAATGCTTCACAAAGCAACTTATTCCTGAAATGCATTCTATAGAAAGAGATATAAACCAGCATTTAGGAAATACCCGTGTGAAGGGATTTTCCAGGCTTCCTGCAGGATTTTTTCCAGCAGTCAGGTGACAAAGTAAATAGGCAAAATAAATATACTAGTAGCACAGAAAAGGTCATAATTTATTGTAGATCTGATTACTAAGCAGCAGCAAGGTCTGGGGAGATCTGGACACTGAGAAACTGGTATTTCCCAGTAGATCTGCAGTCCAGCATCTATAGACAGACCTGGCATCTAAACAATGCCTTCCACCTCCATTGAAATCCCCAATTCTTTCCTGGGCTCTCTTCACCCTCTGCAGCTCTTAATTGTACAACTGCTACAGTCAATTTTACAGCCCCCACTGTATGTTTACATCTCACCCCCTGCCAAAAATACCCCAAACACATCAGAACAACAGCACTTCAAGGTTGTCTCCAGCAACTCCCTCCACTCAGCAAACTAGGTACAACAACAGTGGGTTACTTTGCATAACTCACACTTTCTCAGCTACGGTCCAATGGACTTTATATGCCTTCGCCCAGTAGTTTTTAAAATATTTTTTTAAAAACTCAAATGGAAGAGAACTTTTTTTTTTTTTTTTTTGTATGAAGTTAGATCTAAGAAAGGTCTCTGCTGCTACATTTTGCTTCTGGGTAGATGGACAACTGCCCAATCATAGCTGCACTAAAATCCTGCATACGTATGTGACAGTGATTATTTTCCTAGCGGGCAGGAATTGCCTTCTCCCTAAGGAAAGACCAAACTAATATTGCAGATATTAATATTGCACATCTTGAAGTGACTAGATACATGAAAACTTACTCCTTTTGGAAATGAAGCATTGGCCAGACCCATAAGACATTCAAAAACTTTACTTACAGAACTTTCTTCATAACAGAACAGGAACACCAAATGATACATCCAAACAGTTCCATAACATATGACATAGGCTCAGCATCTTGCAAAATATGAAACAATTCCAATAGTCCTAGAAGCAGAGGTCTGTCTCTCCCAACTGCCTGCATTCCAACCTTCACTGGCCTTAGGGAATGCAGATCCTGGAGAGTCGTTTACATCCTTCCTCTCACAGTCTGAGAACAAAGATGTCCAGCAACCACCCTTCCGAAACCTTAACATCTACACCGGAGCAACTTGAGAACAATAAGTTTTCAACTCAGATCAGCTCAGAGAGCACTTCTTTAGCTTTAAGCTTTAAGCCTTTTCTACATTTAGGCATTTCCCATTTCAGTGTGAATTGAATAATTATACTTAACAACTAAAAGGCTAAGCAATGGGTTGTCACTTGAACCTTTTATTTCTTTAAATTGGCTAGATCTCTTTTCCTAGATGTCAGTCTTTGCTATGCCTTCGTACAATAGTGAAATCACTGAAAGGTAGGAGTGGTCTAGGATAACAGGGCCCATAATTCTGTTTTTTATATAGCGTTCTGCAATAGCTAGAGAATTTTTAAAAAATGAAAGCTGAGGTTCCATTTGCCTCTTGGCTCAGCAGTAGTTTCCAGTAACTCTTTCAAAGGCCACCCCATTTTACAGTAATCTGATCTGGATGTCAATGCCTGAATCACTGCAGCTAGGTAAGTCAAGGTGGTAAAAGGACCCCTGGCATGTACCCGGTAGGTCCCGACTTGTGGTTGAAAGTGTAGAGAGACTCACAAATCTGTTTTTCATGGTGCAAAATTTGAGCTACTTTTTTTTGGGGGGGGGTATTTTTTTAGTAAAACTACCAGTACAGTTATTATCTAGAATGCATAACACTTGTACAGAGTATACATAATTCTGATCTCAGTCCAACTATCTGAATCCTGCAAAGTAGTTACTGGTTTTATTTTTACACTTTCTGGCTATTTCCTTTACAAGATCAGTCATGCCCCCCTCACTTTAAAAAAAAAACCCACCAGCACCCTTCCTTGACATGGCAAGTATACTACAGAGACATAATGTTTAAGATTCAATGCACATGTTTCTCTCTCTCCCCTCTCGTCAGAATGTGCTGTTCATTATTTCACACTGGGAGAAACAAAAAAGCATAGCAACATAACCTGCTATGAACTTCAATCTTTCACTTGCTGTGTTTGTTACCTTTTTGGTGGCAGGTTACCTGACTCCATTGCCCAGCCTTGCTCTGTATTTTGTGTGCAGCCATTCAGTTTTATGATATGGCAACAGTGCTAAATCCTGTGTTTTTAAATGAGTACTTGCAGGAAAATTGTATAATCTTATCAAAATGGCCTAAGAGCTGCTTAATGCTATTCTGGTCAGTGTGCTGTCATTCTACTGGCACTTTCTGTTGCTTGCTCTACTTTGTGGAGCCCTGTGTCACACACATTGTCTCCAGGCTGTCAGACTTTTAGTATAAATCCCTGTCTGGGTTGTATAATAAACCTACAAAATGCTGTTGTTGAAGCTTCCTGCTCTTCATTTGGATAGTTTCATTGATTTTGCTTGAGTTACTCACTTTTGCTTAGAAGTGTTGTCCTTCTTGTCTGAATATAGATGTGGGAAAGATAATTCTGAGATCATCAGTATTCTGAGAATTCAGCAGAAATTATCTTGTCTAAAACATCTACAGCCTTGGGTCCTCAAAGCAGAGGAATCCCACTGACATAAGAACATGCATTTTCAGATGGCTACTGATAGTCTCTAGGACAGTTTTATCTGGCTGGCCCCAAGGACTTGCAATATTTTAATCAAGATGTGATAGACAGGATGTGATAGACAGACAGAGAAGAGGTAGGCAAGGAGGATGAATAGAATAGTGCAATAAACCCAACAAACCCAACCCTGAAGCCATATGTCTGTTGTGGGCAGAGGTGCAAAGAGGATTTGGTCAAGGAGGCGAGACACTTGCACAAGCCTCTCCTTGCTTGGATCTTCATCAAGGAAGAATTGAGTCCTGTCAGGGGAAAAGGCAGAGTTGATATAGTTGATATAGCCATCTATCTATTGATATTTCTCTATATCTACTTAGTACTAAAGAAATTCAAGGTACAGTGGTGCCCCGCAAGACGAATGCCTCGCAAGACGGAAAACCCGCTAGACGAAAGGGTTTTCCGTTTTTGAGTTGCTTCGCAGGACGAATTTCCCTATGGGCTTGCTTCGCAAGACGAAAATGTCTTGCGAGTCTAGATATTTTTTTTCGCTCCCCCCCCTTTATCTAATCTGCTAAGCCTTTAATAGCCTTTAATAGCCTTTTAGCAGCTAATCCGCTAAGCCTTTAAGCCTTTAATAGCCGCTAAACCGCTAATAGCGCTAATCCGTTAAGCCGCTAATAGGGTTGCTTCGCAAGACGAAAAAACCGCTAGACGAAGACTCTCGCGGAACGGATTAATTTCGTCTTGCGAGGCACCACTGTATCTAAAAATTCAAGGTATCTAAAGAAATTCAAGATATCTAATGGTAAAGAACATGAGAAAAGAACAAGAATGGTGACCTTGCACACTGCCAGGTGCCCAAGAGGCATGATCATTTTGCCAAGAATAAATAAATATCTGAGTGGAAGACGAGAAAGAGGAAACAGCAAAATGCCACCTGGTTCCTACACTCTAAAATATTTAAATTTTAATTAAGGAAAAAACCCTTCTCCAATAAGCCAAATAATTGTGGCAGGCATAAATAAGTTGGCATCAGAGGAAATGTATTTCTAAGGCCCTGCATTTTCTGGTAGTAATAAAAAAGAAAGAAAGAGAAAAATGAAGGTGGCTGAAAGCAAAGAATCATTATGAGACTATTGCCTCCCCGGGGTTGTCAAAATCCCAACCTGTAAAAAGAAACATTTTTAGCATTTCCTAAAACGTCCAATGCCAAATTAAATTTGGGGGAGGATGTGGGGGGAGGGTGTGGTTAATGGTGTCAACACATAAACTCATAAACTGCTGCTAAGAAGAACCACTGATAGCATTCCTTTATTAAGAGGATTAAGTAAGTGTTTACAATAAATGAGATCTATTATTTATTTCTGTTTTCAGTGTGTAGCCTGTTTAGCCCAATAACTTCAGGGGAACGTCAACATGCCGAACTGGGAAGGAGGCAGAGTGGCAGAGAGCAGACTTTGTAAATCAACAGGCTCAGGTTAAGGAAGCAATCCTTTAGGGCTGGGACTGGGGAGGGGAGGTGGGCTAGATCCTAAACCCATTCCTAAGCCCAGCCAGCAGCAGCCCTGCTGTTGAATGGAGTTTGGATTTGGTGCAACTTTATTCTGATTTACTTTACACTAACTTCAAATATTTGAGAAGTTAGCAGCAAACCCTCCAACATTCCTCAGATGAAAATGGGGACATTTCTCACTCCCTGCCTCCAACTAACCCTCCTTTACCCCCCATTTTTTGTTGTCCGTCCCCCACCACAAAACATTTCCTCCACCACTACATCATTGGGACACCCCTTAATCCAGATTTTACTTAATTTTATTCTAGATTTACAAAAAGAAAAGCACACACCACTAAATAAATTTTAGAAAGGGGCAAGATTAGACACAGTCTGGCAAAGCACTTTTTAAATAATAAAAAAACCAATTTTCCTTGCCCTCTGCTCCACTTCCCATTTCTTTTCACCCAGAGCAGCCGTGCCCTCTGCCTGCCCCTCAAGGCCAGCCTGGCACATGGGGCTGGCCCTCGGCCACAGCAGCCCCTTGTCCAACTCCAGCAGCCACAGAGAGGCCACGGGATGCTCCCCTCGCAGCTGCTGTCACTCAGGACAAGTCACAGCTCATCTCGCTCCCTGAGCTCAGCAGCAGCACTGGCGGGGGAAAGAGGAACTTTCTGGCTTTCATAATTCTGGGACTGTCCCTGGAAAATTGGGGTACTTGGAGGAAATTTGTTGAAATACTACTAAACTTGTGCTTCCGGTTTTCATACTTCTACAACATTTCCCCACTTCTGATCTCAGACACCTTTCCATTCTGTTACCATTTCAGGTGTGAACAGAAGATCAAGCATGTAACCATGAGCTAACTTTCATCTTGTGTTTGCCCAGCTTATCGAACCACCAAAGCTTCTCATCGGACAGAGTTACCATGTTTTAGCAAGAGGCATTATTTTGAACCTCACTGAACTTCTTTTCAGAAATTCAATAATTCTCCAGGAGTGATAATAACTCCTGAAAATCAAACTAATTTGTAAATGCAATTTGTAAATAAAAGCCAAACTAATATTGTAAATGCAAAATATGGACTTTTGCACATGTAGGAGATTGATTATTAGTTCATGAAGGCTCTAAGGGACCGTACACATTTTTGTTTGTCCTGTTATTTCAAGTCTTGGGCCTAAGAGGGTTTTGGGGGTTTTTTGTCCCACTGCTTTCTCTCAGGGAAATCCATTGTTTACTGCTTAATAAGAATAAACATAAATCCGCAGAAAACCTGATTGACATTTGTTCTGATTCAGCGGTTAACAAGTTTTTACGGGGAAAGTGTTGGAACAAAAAAAGCCCTTCTCAGGCATGTGACTTGAAATAGTGGGGCAACCAGACATATGTGTGGGCCCCAAGTCTCCTTGCATGCCTGTCTCACAGTTATTGAATTCAGCCAATTTTAGACAGAAATTTTAAACAGCTAATGCAGAAAAAAAATAATTGCTGGAACATTGCTGAGATAAGACTTGAGAATGTGGCCAGGGTCTCCACCAGTGTGACATGTGACGCTGCACTGCCCCCACACTGTGGTGGGAGTCTAGGCGGCCTGTCCGCAACCCGGCCCCACCCGGAAGTGAAGCCGATTTTCTGGGTGTAAGTTTTGGGAGCACTTGCAGTTGACTGTTAACATGACTTTAACCTTGTATTATAATTCCAGAAGATCTGTGTTTCCTTCCCATGATATCCTGTATCATGGGTAATGAACTGAATGTAGTCAGATCTCTACTCTTCAAGTGCCGAAACTTAGAGCTACAGTATATTCAGAAGTACAAATGAACATTTCTTGCCTCCTAGTCTCCAATGTAATTAGCACCACTGATTATTTTCATGAGGGACTCTCTGTTCTTGTCAAAATCTTTACCATAACAACTTCTGAATTATAATACAGCTGTAACTGCCTGTACTACCGTGTTCAGTGGAGGAAGAAATGCAGAAGGAACATCTCAAAAATGAAATTAATTAAACTGGCTAATGTTCTCAAAGTTCTCTGAAGATGAAAAGCTCTACAGTAGTTTCAAATTATGATAATTAAATCACCAAAACGCTGTACTTGAGATTTTACTCAGTGAACCTCACAATAACTGTATAAGATGGGTCAGTAACTGATGAGGAAGCTAAACATGAGAAAAAGGCTTATTTAGGACTCCTTAGAATAATAGCCATTATGCATGCAGGCACTGTAAGCGGAAGCCAGGCTGCATGCATGACTTTGCAGGTCCCGGCCTTCATGCCTCCTGAAGCTCAGGAACTTCATCTGCATAACAAAAGGCAGAGAGGATTCTAAAACCCTTCAATGGATTTGCTGGTAGCTGGCAGACAGCCAATCCCTGCTGCAATAGGGCCAGTGTTGTGATTCGCCAGTCACAGCATAAGGTGACCTATCACAGGCAGGGAGGTGTGTTGCCTGGGCTCCCTTAAAATGTTTATATCCTGGGCTGAGTGCCCCTGTTTGCCATTATTGTTCTTTGTGTTCCTGATGTTACAATAAATCCACTGATGTTACAATAAATCCATTTTGAGCTGAAATCTGGTCTTGGGTCATGCCTGAACCCACCTACACTTCAAAAACCTTCGACCTTTTTCAAAAATAAGACCCACCTTTAGTCCCAATCAACAACATGGCATCCACTTTTCACTGTTTGCTGTGTGTTCTCCCTTTCTTTGTTCTGCCTTTCTAGACTGAGCAAAGGAAGCAACATGGCTGCTGTGCCTTTAGAAGGAGATCTTAGTCTGTCAGGTGCAGCTCAAATGGCAGAGGTAGGAAAAATGTGAAATTCCCTACTGAAATTCCCGGTTCAATATAGTCTCTCTCCATCTCTTAAAACAGGGAGGGAAGGAGGAACTTGCAGGACCACAGGATCATGTTTATTGTCAGAATAATTTGGTTCTGGTGCAACTATTGAAATGCACCTTAGTTCATGGTGAAAGATCAATGCTGACTGAGATACCCGTTAAGAACTGATTGCTCAGGTGAGATCAAGGCTCATGGCTCACATTCTTAGCCACAACTAAACCATCCCTGAAATACTGGCAGCCTTAGGGAAAGCTCAGCTTGCCATGTGATGCCCCTTACTGCTCTCTTTCTTCAGATGTATTACACTGTTTCTTTCATGTAGTTCTTTATGGGTTAGTGCTGTTATTCTACATCCTGTGTTTGGTTTCCTATCAGATTTGTTCATGGATGCTAGTAGGCCTAAAATGAATACACTGACCCAGACTGCATTGTTCCATTCCAAAGCCATTTCCGAGCTTGGGAGGAGAGGGGGTTGCGGGTTACCCCCTCCCACACACGCGGGGGCTGGCCTTTTGCCCCCGCGAGATCCAGGGAATCCCCGGGCGTGCCTGCGACCCGGCCCGCCAATCGGCGGGCTGGGGAGGCATGGCCTAGCCTACTTAAGGCCAGGCACGGGGACCGCCCTCTTTCCCCTTGCCAGCTGAGCGGTTTTTTGTCTTGCTCCCCGCACCGCCGTATACCTACCTTGCCTCGTGGCCAACTTTTCTTCCTGGGGCGAAATCATGGAGAGACTTCGGTCCCTTTGCCTGGATTATCACAGTTTTGCTGGACTAGTGGAGTTCTCGCTGATTTGATTTGGAAGGGGGCTGCAGCTTCTTCGCACCATCGGCAGAATCGGGAAGGGTAACGTAGGCGCTGCGGGACGCTCCTGACCTGTGCTAGTTTCCTCCTTTCCGCCGTCGGCGGCCAGGGCTTCTTGCCGCTTGGGGGGTTCTGCTTCTACCGCTTTTCCACTGCGCCCCATCCTCCTTCCTTGCGAGCGGCAACGCGCCACATTGTAACTGAGTGAAAGCCCCGTGGCTGTTCTTAAGAGCCGGGAGGCGTGCTCGGGGCTCACTGATTGCTCCACTTTTGGATATCTGGGGGTTTTCTATTCTCTTCATAGTCTTTGTTTCCGTCCGTTCGGAGGCTTCCCCCTCCCTGCTGCTTCTTCCGTGTTTCCGTCTCCTTTTTCACTCCCAAGGCAGGCGTGCTGTGAGCGTTCTGTTTTGATCTACCTTGCTGCCCCTGCGTGCCCCGCTGTCCTCCTTCCCTTCCCAGTAGCCCTCATCTCCTCGCTCTTCTGAATTGTTGTGTCGGGTTGCCAAGGATTCCGCAACACCCCGCCTCTTTGGGCGTGCATTCTTGAAGTTTTAGCGGCCATTTCTTGTAAGGGCCGCTGTAAGGGCAGGTCGTCGGCGCCATCTTAGTGGCACACGTGGGTGAAGCGGGGGTGGCCATTTTGGTAAAGGCGCGGGGTGTGGGCAGTTTGACGGCGCCATTTTGTTTGTGGTCACGTGCTGAAGCCGGGGAGGCCATTTTGAGTGAGGCGCGGGTCACTGGCAGGATACTTTTACACATATTTAGCCTCACAAGCGCAAGCTGCACGGCAGCATTTTACACAGTTATTGCGGTTTTCATGTAGCGGTTTATCGTAGCTTATTAACACTGGGAATTAATTACTGAGTGCTACAGTGCGGGACGCCATATTGGTAAAGGGCAGAGTGTGGGCAGTTTGCCAGCGCCATCTTGGCCACGTGCTGAAGCCAGGGCGGCCATTTTTGAGTGAGGCGCGGGTCTCTGGCAGGATACTTCAAAACATATTTAGCCCCACAAGCATAATCTACGCTGCCGCTTTTTACCCAATAAAACTGAATAGTACAGCTGGGTAGCTCCCGCCCTTGGTGATTAGGCAAGCAGTGTTTCGCGTTGTACCTGGCAGAATTTAGAGGGTCGCTGAGTTAATTGCATTTAGCCCGGGTAGCTTAATGATGCTGGGAATAAATTGCTAACTGCTAGAGCATTCATCCCTATTCGTTGTATAGTTTAGCTAGCTTGGTGGGCGTTATTTAGCAGTATAACAGACGGCTGTTTGATTTAATTCCTTTTATTTTACATGGTTATTATTCTGTTGGGGCCAAAGGGCTGAGGGCTTAAAAATCTTTCCGCGTTGCTTTTCTAAAGTGCTGAGTGCTTACAATCTTCTGCTGGGCTCAGTGCTTAGGGCAGAGGAAACTCTTTGTTAATGTCTTTGACTGTTATAAAATAAAATAAAAAGAATAAATAAATATAAATAAATATATATAATAATAAATAAATAATAAATAAATATAATAATAATAGTAATAATAAAATAAAATAAACTATATCTATATATAGATATAGATATAGATAGTTATATAGAAAATTAAGTAAATTAAGTGCCTAATTTCTGCTGTGTAGCCAGAGCCTTTAACGGCTGGCAGCTAGTAGGAAATACCAACCCAGGATTGTGGCGCTGCGCTGAAAGTATTAGATTATACTGAACTAGCTGTTCTAGATTTAAGTTAGAGCTAAGCCAGCGTTGATAATACTGAACTGGTGCAACTTTTAAGCTGCGTGGCTGATCCTGAGCAGGTGCTAGCGCTTGCGCATTTTCACCATCATGGGCAATACTGAGCTAGTACTTTGCAAATAATTTGGAGATTTCCTTGGTGCATTTCCAGTGCGGGCAGTACCGAGCTAGTACTTTGCAAATAATTTGGAGATTTCCTTGGTGTAGTTCTTGGTACGGAATGGCTTCTGGTGGTGACCAGCAGGCATCCTCCTCGGGTAATCAGATGGCATCTTCCACAGGTAATGGGGGCGCCCAATTACCATCCATGCCCTGTGACCCCCAGGCCTTTGCTCAATTTTTTATGGCCTTTGAAACATTTTATAGACAGTGTAGGCCAGGGGCTCTGGCACTCCCAGCCCCGGAACCATCACAGGTGGTAATTCCCGATACTCCTCCTAGTAATCAGGGGCAGCAGGGTACCGCAGCAGCGGTCAGTGCCCAGTCTGAAACCACAACAGTGGGCCGCCCTAATACCCATGCCCAGTCAGCTATTTCTAAGCAAGCAATCCAAGGCGCTGGTAAAGGTAAGGCACCGGCAAAGGGTCCCGGCAAAGGGAAGGCGCCCGCTAAAGGGGCCAGCAACAATTCCATCTCACAGGTTGTAGGTATTCCTAGTGCTTTTCAGGAACAGCGGCCTCAGCACAGCTCTACTGAAGACAGTGTGGGTTCCGGGTCGGAGGAAGAGCAGACGGAACCCCAAATGGCCCAGCCACCGGCCAGCGTGATCCCGTCCAGCAGTGAGGTGCAAGGGGGTAAGAGGAAATCCAAGAAGAAGCACACGTCGGCAAAGAAGAAAAGGAGCAAGCAGTCAGAGACCGAGGATGAATCAGGTACGTCCTCATCCGAATCAGATAGTGAGGGCTCCATGGATGGTTACTGGGGTTTTGGTGAAGGGAATCACGGGATCCCACTTTGGGCACATGAAAGGAGAGCCAATTCCCATCGTAAGACTTTCAATGGAGTACTGGACTGGAAGGATGGGGCGTTGGTCGAGGATGTAAAGGTTGCCACCAATCAGTCCACTGATTTTATATTGGGGAACCATTTGTCCCAGAAGAAGAGGAATAAGATCCTCAACGGGGACTATGTGGACATGTTTACCCTTCTCCCTCCTACTAAACTAATGGGAAAAGGTGAAAAGAGGCGCTCCTTTGGTAAGCGGAGGTACAGGACGCCTAGGGCGGAGCGCACCTTTGAGAATTGGTTGGATGGGTACCAGGTTTTCATGGGTGTTGTTTGCGCTGCTTATCCTCGGCGCTCCATGGATTTGGTTGCTTATTTGGCTCATGTGAGGCGGGCTCACTCGCTCGCAGGGGAAAATGCCGCTTTAACATATGATGAGAATTTCCGTAGAAATGCTTCTCTCCTGCCTTCCACCCGATGGGACCTAACAGATCCTAACTACTGGGGCGAGGACGTTAATCCCTACATCGAAAAGAAAAACCAGGAATCAGCCAAGGCGGGTAAGACAGAGGCGAAACGGCACCGCCTCTGCTGGGAGTTCAACAGGGGTGTATGCTCGAGACCCTCCTGTAAGTATCTGCATGAATGTGAGCGGTGCTGGGGAAATCACCCCGCCTCTGCGTTCTTTAAGAATAAACAGCAGCCCTTTCGAGGGGGCAGGGGGTACTTCCACAACAACACCAGAGGTGCCCCCGGATCCTCCCACCAGGGACCCGGTAACCGCCAGTAACTTGCATCTTGGTCTGGCCTTCTCCCCTATCCGTCTGCAGCCCCTCAAAACCCTGCTAGATCAATATCCCGATCAAAAAGCCGCACAATACCTGTGGGAGGGGTTTTCTAAGGGCTTCAGAATCCCCGTGGCTTTCCCCCCTAACACCGGGGATCCACAAAATCAAAAATCAGTTAGGGAAAGACCCGAGATAGTCAGAAAAAAGATAGAGAAAGAAATCAGGGCAGGTAGGGTGGCAGGCCCCTTCGCCAAACCTCCCTTGGAAGGACTTCACCTATCCCCTCTGGGCATTGTACCGAAAAAGACCCCAGGGGAATTCCGCATGATTCACAACCTCTCTTACCCAAGGGGAGGCTCGGTCAATGACGCGATCCCCCAGGAACTTTGTACAGTGAAATACGCCTCCTTTGACCAAGCAGTTAAAATGATTCGCAGATTTGGGCAAGGGGCGCTTCTAGCCAAATGTGACATTGAGTCGGCGTTCCGCCTTCTTCCTGTCCATCCAGCTGACTTCCGTTGGTTGGGCTTTAGATTTGAGGGGGCATATTTCATTGACAAGGCAATGCCTATGGGCTGCTCCGTGGCTTGCTCAGCCTTCGAGTCGTTCAGTACGTTTCTTGATTGGGCACTACGCTTCAGGACGGGGTCGTTGGGCGTGTCGCATTACCTGGATGATTTTATTTTGGTGGCAGATAACAGGCAACGATGCTCCGCCCTCTTGGAGGCTTTCACAGCCCTGGCCAGGGAGCTGGGGGTGCTGCTAGCCGCCGAAAAAACGGAGGGTCCAGCCACCTCTATGGTCTATCTGGGCATTGAGTTAGACACCGTGGCCCAGACGTCTAGGTTGCCCGAGAATAAACTGATCGCCCTTAAAGCACTGATACAACAGCTACTGCCCCTAAGGAAGCTTACCCTAAGGCAAATTCAATCCCTGCTAGGCCACCTAAATTTCGCCTGTAGGGTAGTGGCGCCGGGGCGCCCCTTTTGCGGCCGCCTGGCCAGATTGGCTGCAGGTCTCAGGGCACCACAGCATAGGGTGCGCCTCTCCAAAGAAGTCAAGGCGGATCTGGGAGTTTGGTTACAATTCCTCGACAAGTACAACGGTATATCCTTGTGGCAAGATTCCATGGCACTCGACGCTGATTTCCAAGTTCAGTCAGATGCGGCAGGTTCCTTGGGTTTTGGAGTTTATTTCAGGGGCCAGTGGTGTGCCCAAAAGTGGCCTGCAGACTGGCAGGGCCAGCCCATTACTCGGGACCTTACATTCTTGGAATTTTTTTCCCTATCGTGGTGGCAGTGCATCTTTGGGCAGAGCAGTTCCGCAATCATAGGGTTTGTTTCAACACAGATAACCAGGCAGTAGTAGCGGTTCTTTCTAGACAGTCCGCGCGCTCCACCAGGGTAGGAAACTTGTTACGGTCCTTCGTCCTCCTGTGTTTGGAACAGAATATATATTTTTCAGCCAAATTCGTACCTGGCATTAATAATGACATCGCGGATGCTCTGTCTCGTTTTCAGATGGAGTGCTTCCGCTCATTAGCGCCGGATGCGGAACAATCATCGATGTCTTTCCCGGAGCATCTCTGGAGCCATGGGAGCAGGAAGTGATGAAGGGAGTATTCAGTGCAGTTGCCCCTTCCACAATGAGATCATACAAGAAGGCTTGGGCTGACTTTTTAAAGTTCCGCAGCAGAATGCCCAGCACAAGGCAGAATTCCATTCCCTCAACGAGGGAGGTCCTCCACTACTTAACCCATCTGAAGGAGCTGGGCAGGGCACCAAAGACTCTCAATATTCAGTCCGCTGGGATTTCCTATTTTTGTAAAGCCTTTTTCGCCACTGACCCGTGCGTGGAATTTATCGTGCGTAAGACTTTAGAGGGTTGGCGCCGGCTGCAGCCCCCCAGCTCTGACAAGAGGAGGCCCATAACTTATGATATTCTGACCCAGATACACAAAAAATTATGAGAAATATGCTGGTCAAAACATGAAGCTCGCCTATTCTCTGCCGCTTATTCCATAGCCTTCTTTAGTGCCCTGCGCATAGGCGAGGTAGTCTGCGAGGGAGGGGTTGCCCACTGCCAGAGGGGCATCCTCTTAAGTGATCTGACCCTATCAGGGACTGACCTAATAGTTCAAGTACGGAGCTCTAAGACGGACCAACAGGGTAGGGGGGCCCTCCTTCGGTTACCAGCCGCACAAGCTAGTGGTCCCTGTCCAGTTAGGGATACGAGGCGTTTCCTCTACTTAAGACCCAATAGCCCCGGCCCCTTTTTTATTCACGTGAATGGATCGCTCTTGGCCAGACATCAGTTTACGCGTGTGATGCGCATGGCGTTGGCAGCATGAGGACTGCCCGCGGCTGAATTTGCGGCTCACTCCTTTCGGATCGGGGCAGCTACCACTGCAGTGCACCTTGGGCTCTCCGCAGAGAGGATAAAGGACTTAGGGCGGTGGAAATCTAATGCATACAAAGCTTATGTGAGAAAGAATCTATGACTAGCGATTGTTCTCCTGACCTTGGTTTTTCTGTCTATTTGCTTTTCAGAATACAAGAGGGTGCGCATTTGGTTGGTGGGCCACAGCATCATGCATTGGGCCAAGAATCGTGCCATGAGTACCGGGTTGGGTCTAAACTTGAACTTGCCTGCAAATGTGGAGCTGGCGTGGATAGCATGAAGAGGGATGCGCTGGAGCGAATTCAAGCCAGCTGTAATGGCGAGAGCTGCCTCTGAGGGCCCACCTGATGCCCTGGTTATCCAGTTGGGGGGAAACGACCTAGCGTACCGCAAAGCTATTGACTTGAGATGGAACATTTTTGACGATTTTGCTGATCTGATGGCGGTTTACCCAAACATTACTATCTTGTGGTCCTCGTTGCTTGAGAGGAGGACATGGAGGGATTGTGTGAGCCCGGTTGGAATCAATAAAGCAAGAAAGGTCTTGGAGCGGGCTGTGGAACGTAGAGTGGCGGCTCTGGGCGGGTGTGTCATAGGACACCCAGGCATCCAGTACAGCAACGAGGCCCTCTACAGATGGGATGGTGTGCATCTGTCAGATGCTGGAAACGATATTTGGCTGGGGGACATCATAGCAGGGATTAGGAGTTGGTTACAGGTTTGAAGGTATTGGCGGCGAGCTTTGCTCGAGTGGCGGTTAGGCATTGGCAGGGGTTTATTGTTATGCAAATGAATGGGGGGGAAGGAAGCGCCATCACCTTCCCCCAAGGAAAGGGTAGTCCGGTAGAGGACTCCGGGGGGCGTTGCCTTGTCCGAAACCTAGGGAGGTAAGGGCCTCCGGCACGCCCCCGAGCGGTGACACCCGTGGGATCCTAGTTGGCGTACTTCAACAGGACACCCACGTCTTGTGGATAACCCTTCCCGGTCTCCATGCCGGGTAGTCGATAGGAGCCAATGCCTAAGGCCAATACCTTTCAATTCTGTAATCAATAAAGTTGTGGCCTTTTTTATGCCCATTAACCTTAAATAATGTGTCCAGTGTCTTCATTTCACATGGGGGAGGGGACTTGCCACGCAACAGACACCTCAGATTCCTAATCCCAAACTCTCTCACACACGTTTTCTTCCACTTCAAACAATGAGGAAGAAAGTACCGTCATTCTAAACCTTATGGATTTTGTGCTGCTCAGTCGAGACAAAAGCAATTCTTGTTATAACAGTAATACGCACCCTTCTCTTTCATATCTATATTGAGATATTCCCCAGCAGGGAAAACACATCGAATTGTAATGTCCAACCTTATTCCATCTTTTCGATAGCCTAGCAATTCATCCATTCCCCCCAGGAAATTGTACAGTTGTAAACAGGATACAACTATCCTGAATGCTGTAAGAAGAAATCATAAATTTAAAATAAAGCTGCCTTCAGTTTTCTTAGAGACATGTACTCACAGAAGAACAGTGTGAAGTTGAAATCTCTGTTTGAAGGGGGGAAATGCAGGCTTCACATAGAGAATTTAAAATATTTGCTAGCAGCATTCAAATGTTCCTGTTGGATTTGAATAATAATGCTGTAGCCCAAAGAGTTGGTGGCACTTACAGAAAAGAAAGTTTACAGTTCATATTCAGCACTCCACAGATTTGTAGTGCAATAAATTCCCTTTAAAGTAGAAAACATTGTGTTTTCTATATGCCTGAGTAAATGTGATTAGACAAATTCACTCTCATTAACAGATGACTAAACTGAAGTTCTAGATAATGACTTTGCTTCCGCTCTGAACATTCAGTCATAACCCTTCCAACAGAGCTGGAGACAAGCTTAGCAATTGTCATTCATTTCCTTGGGCATAATGCTAAACACAGAACACAGAAATGGGTCTTGGAGAAGGGTGAAAAATTAGGTTTAATAGTGTAACTGTAATAGATGCTGATTAAGGATAGAAATTGGGTGGTCAGGTATTTTTAAATGCAGTTCCCAAGGGAGAGGAAATTTGGGAGGGCTTCAGGTGAATATTTGTAGGTTCTCAAATACTGTTTAATGTAATACTTCTCCTTCCCTCCCTATCTGAAGCAAAGGGCAAAAGCAGGGACACAGGCCTCGTTCACTCTCGCATGGACACTGAACTTCTGCAGGGGGGAACCTGAGGTGTTCAGGGAGGCTCTGTGCACAATTTATAACCTTTATCTTCCTGGGTGCAGACTCAGGAGACTACTCAGGTAGAAGTCTCCTTGGTGCAGATGTGCAAGGCTGAAGCTCCACCATGTGGATGACTTTGCCCTCACTCTCCCCCTAATGCCATGGTCATCAGAGGTGGTGGCAGAATGACTGCGATTTATAGCAAAATGGGACATTTTTTCTAGAAGAGAGCTATAGTCTCTTGACACCTAAAACAGAATAGCAGCAGCATGTTTCCAAAGCAACTGGAACACTTTAAAAACAAGGTGGTGTGCTTTATTGAACAAACAAATGTATGAAAATGTATAACAAACAAATGTATGAAAAGTAAAAATGATAGTACAAAAAGATAACAATATTCGCTAATTCATATCACCGTACATTCTTCTAACAGATCCTATGACTTCCCGCCACCCCACCATGTATTTATAGCTTAACTTATCTGATACACTATTAATCTCTATTTTCTTTTAAATAATATTTGTTAATATTATATTCTCTTATATTTGTTCATCATTACACAGAAGTTATTCAAATGCTGCCACTGATGTCATATTGCTACAATAATCTTCTAAATATTTTTTATACACGTCTCATTTTCGAATAAAGGTCTGTATTACCTCTCAGCTTTCCTGTCATTTTTGCCAATTCGGTGTACTCCCAACAGCTTACTTTCCCACTCTAGCTTTGTTGGGATTTTCTCTCCCTTCCAATTCATTGCAATATAATATATATACTGTATATATTTAAAAACAAGGTGGTGTGTTATCACTTGCTTTGGATTAATCTCAGTGCTTTCAATTGTGTTTCTCTAGAGTAAGCAGCCTCCTAATGGGCAAAATCAAAACAGGAATGCATACAAAGTTTCTTGAAACAATGCAAAGCTACTTATTTCCTTTGCTGAAAAGTTTATCTTTACCAGTTCCGTAAAGGCACAGAAAAAAGACACATATATTCATCTTAAATAATGCAATAGAAACAAAAGAATAAATGTAATGAACTGTCAGGCATAAAAAATCTTTTAACATTTTCTTTTCAAGTTTCAAATCTTTATTGTTTCGGAGTGCCTGTAATAAAGTCTTAGGGGCTGATGCAATTCTGTCAGTTTATGTTTCTGATGAAAGAAGCACCTTTCCCCCCTCCAAATATAAGTTTGGACTAAAAAAAACCTCATTCCCAATCTAGTGAGAAGTAAAGTTGGCTAAACACCATAATACAAATGTCAAATGAATAATGCAATGAAAAGGTGGCTCCTTTCCAGGAATAGTGTGTTGAAACAAATAGTGTCTGATTAGAAGAGGAAAGCAGGGCAATATGTTCTTTTTCTCACCTAAAAATGTTATGTTAACTGTCAAGGCTGCCTCAAGTCTTAGCTCACAAAAGACCAACGCCTACGTCTTCTTGAATACAAAGGTGTTTATTGCAGTTCATGGTTTGCTTGACATCTTAGGCGCGCAGCCTTACGTCTCTTACGCTAGACCGCCGAAGTCCCGTCTGAGTCAGTCCCTCCTCTGCACCAATTTAAGAGACTTGCGCTGCTCCACCTCTTTCTCTCCTTCCTTTTCCGCAGGGTCTTTCTGCCCCCTGGGGTTTGCCCCCTTCTGGATTCCTCTGACGCGGAATCAGACTGCTGCTCCCCCTTCCTGCGGGCTTTGGGACCTGGCCCCTCCTCCGGGCTCCCTGCACTTCCGCGCGCCTCTACATTTGAACTAGGCGCGCGCGCCAAACCTCTGACTTTCCTTTTGACAGTTACACTGCTCCCTTCACTGCTCCCCTCCCCTTCCGGGAGGGCTGCTTGCTCTGACCCCCCTCCTCTCTCTGCTGCTGGAGCTCCTTCCTCTGACACACTGGAAACTCCACCCCCTTCGCTGCACTTTGGTGGGGAGGCTGGTCCTGACGCCCAGCTGCCACTTTGGGATCCTCCGCTGGCACCCTGCTCCTGACATTTCCCCCCTGGGGCTCCCCTGGCCCTGACCACCGGCGCCCCCTTCTGGGAATCCTCTGATTCGCTGGAAAGACTCATGGAATCCCTTGAGTCATTGTCGTCCTCTTCCTCGCTGGCTTGGAATTCCTCCCCTTCGCTCTCCATCTCCTGCCTACCCTGTGCCTCTCTCTCTGAACCCCTGACATCCATCCCCCCCTCGAAGCCCCCCCTTCCCCCCTCCCGCTGCTCGGGCGCAGGTTCCGGGAGCCTCGTTGTAGCGGGGGTAGATGCTGGATACAGTTCGTCGACGTCGATCTCCTCTGCTTCCAGTTCAGTGTAGGAGTGCTCGAAACCGGGGTCCTCCCCCAACACCTCCAAACCCTTCCCTCCCCTGTTACTTCAGGCGAAGCTGCTTGCCAAGGCCCCCTTCGCCACCCCACTTCTGGTTGATCGTCCCACCAATAAGAGCGGTCCGTGTCCACCCCGAGCCCGATCCCCTTGGAGGGCTCGATTGCGGCGTGGTCTCCTCTGCGGAGGAGAACCCCTGAAGGTGCTGCCTGAAAGTGTGGGGGTAAAAGCCAGTCGTCAAAATACTCCTCTGGCATGGGCCTGTGCGGGAAGAGTGCATGGAACTCGTCCTTAAGCCAAGATTCCTCCAGAGCATAATCTGGCACCCAACTGTTGGCGCTAGCCGGGGTACCTTCCTTGGCGAGGAGGTATTCCACTCCCTCCTCCCCCCATCTCGAGTCCAGAATTTCCGTGACCTCGTTGAGTGTCGGGGTCCTCGGTGACTTCCCCCCCCCCGGTGACTTCCTACGCGGGTCTGGTGCCGTCCCTGGCTCCTGAAATCTGTGTGGGGCCTTGTAGGGTGTAAGCACCGACCTATGAAAGACCGGGTGCATTCGGGAATCCTCTGGGAGGGTCAACCGAAAGCTACGGGATTGACCCTGCCCTCAACTTGGTATGGCCCTAGCTGTTTGTGTCCTAGCTTCTTCTTAGCTAACGACCTGGCCGGCACCGCCTGGGCTGCTAACCATACCCAGTCCCCCACCTGGATGTCTTCTCCTGCCCTCCTGTGCCTGTCTGCCTGCACTTTGTAGGCGTGTTTAGCTAGTTCCAAATGCCGTCGTAGCTCCTCGTGGACCTCCTGCAATTCTGCTGCTAAATGTTCCGCTCCCTGCGACTCCCCCTGCGTCGTCGTCTCCAACGCCGGGAATGTTCTGGGGTGTCGCCCGTTGTTGGCGAAGAACGGTGTCACCCCCGTTGACGCGTGCTTCGTGTTGTTGTAGGCAAACTCGGCCATCGGTAAGTAGTCCACCCAAGTTGCAGGCTTTTGATTGGCGTAACATCGCAGGTACTGCTGCATGATGGCGTTGACCCTCTCCGCTTGGCCGTTGGTTTGGGGGTGTCTCGCCGACGCTAAGTTGATCCTGACATTCAGGATGCCCAGGAGCCAGGATGCCAGAAACTGGAAATGAATTGGCGACCCCGGTCGGACAAAATGGACCGTGGTAAGCCGTGCACCCGGAACACGTGGTCTATGAATAGCCTGGCGGTCTGCTCCGCTGTTGCCACCTTCGCGCAAGGAATGAAATGCGCCATCTTGGTGAACAGATCTACAACCACAAGCACCGCCGTCTTGCCCCGCGAACTGGGCAGATCAGTGACAAAGTCCAGCGCCACCCTTTCCCACGGCTGCAGTGGCGTCTCCAGCGGTTCCAGCAATCCCGCTGGCTTCTTGTGCACTGGCTTGGACCTCTGACAAGTGTCACACCTAGCGACGTAATCCGCGACTTCTCCCCGCATCTGGGGCCACCAAAAGTCCCTGGCTACTAAGTCCGCCGTCTTCTCCTTGCCGAGTGACCCGCGCTGGGGGCGTCGTGCAACTGCTGTAGAACCTTCGCTCGGAGATCGTCCCCTGGGACATAGAGAGCACCTTTGCGGGTCAGTAGGCCGTCGCGTATCTGGAATTCGCCGTCCTTTGCTGTCCCTCTCCGCACCTCCTCCATCTTGGATTGTGCAAACGGGTCCGTCCGTAGCGCGCGTCGTACCGCGTCCAGGTCCACGGCGGCAGAAGCGCACGCCCACGCTTGCGGTGCAAAAATGTGCCTGGCTGCCACTGGTGCCGCTTCCTCAAGATACTGCGGTTTTCTGGAGAGCGCATCCGCTATGATGTTGTTGTCTCCCGGGATATACTCTATCCGGAAATCGAAATCCGCAAAGAACTCCGCCCATCTCATGTGCCTCTGGCTCTGGAGCTTCGCCGTGCGCCAATACTCCAGGTTCTTGTGGTCCGTGCGGACCTGCACGGTGTGCTTGGCTCCGATGAGGAAGTGCCGCCACGCCTTGAAAGCCGCGTGGATGGCCAACAACTCCCTGTCCCAGATGGTGTAGTTCTGTTCCGACTTGCTGAGCTTCCGTGAGTAGAAGCGCAGGGCCTCCAGTTCCCTTGCGAATCTTCCTGCAAGAGGACGGCCCCCACTGCTCTGTCAGATGCGTCAGTCTCAACCCGCATGGGCCTGCCAGGATTCACGTGTAGCAGCTGGTCTTCGGACGCGAAGAGACTCTTAAGCCTCCTGAAGGACTGCTCCGCCTGGTCCGTCCAGGTGAACTTTTCTTCTTGGAACTGAGGGTGTCCGTGATAGCTGCCGTCTCTTTCGCGAAACCCCTGATGAACTTGCGGTAAAAGTTGGCGAAGCCGACGAACCTCTGGACCTCCTTCCGATTGCGCGGGCTATTCCAGTCCAACACCGCGCGGACCTTGGCGCTGTCCATGGCTAGGCCCTTGTCGGACAGCCGGTAGCCCAGGAAATCCACCTCCGTCACGTCGAACTGGCACTTCTCCAGCTTGGCGTAGAGTCTGTGCTCCCGTAGCCTCTGCAGGACCTCCTTTACGTCTGTTTCGTGAGTCTCCTGCGATTCCGAGAAGATCAGAATATCGTCGAGAAAGCATACGCACTTCTTGTAGAGGAGGCCTGCTAGCACGTGGTGCATGAATGCTTGAAAATGGTGGGAGCCACCTTGGAGACCAAACGGCATAACTCTGTATTCATAGGTGCCCAGCGGCGTGAACATGGCCGTCTTCCACTCGTCACCTTCCCTCATGCGTATGAGATTGTAGGCTCCGCGTAGATCCAACTTGGTGAAGATCCTCCCCTTCCTCACCGTCGCGAGCAGGTCGTCAATCTTGGGCATGGGGAAAGCCTTGGGTTTTGTCATCGAGTGTCAGGGGTTCAGGAGCAGAGGCACAGGAAAGGGAGGAAATAGAGAGCGAGGGGGAGGAGTCCGAAGGAAATGTTAGCGATGACAGCGGTCCGAGGTCTCTGAGTCTTTCCAGCGAATCGGAAGATTCACAGAAAGGGGCTCCCTTGGTCAGAGCAAGGGGGTGCCGAGGGGACACCCCAGGAAGAAGGGGCCAGAGGGGACTCAGAGAGCAGCAGTTGGAAATCAGGACCAGCGTCCACACCAGAGTGCAGTAGGGGAGGGGTCCCAGGCATCGGGATCAGGCGGCGCACTGCCAGTGGGAGGACATGAGTCAGGATTGGCCACGCCTCCATCGGGGAGCGAGGAAACGGTCGAGAGGAAGGTTGAAGGCTGGGCGCGCGCGCCAAGTTCAAATGT